ACAACTTTTAATTATGTATTTCCGATTTTAGTTTGTTGTAAGCCGCCCAGAGTCCCCCGTTGTGGGGGGATGGGCGGGGACAAATCAAATAAATAAACAAACAAATAAATAAATAAAACTGCTACCTAGACAAAAGGGGCTGAAGCATTTTTTAAGCCCAGGACAAGATAGCATCCAGAAGCAGCTCAGGCAGACACCTCCCTAATTCACTGAAGTATAAGGAGGAGGAGGAAGAGATACAGCACCATCAGATTTGCAAGATTCTGTTATTATAGCCACTCTCAATAAAAGTAGTTTTAGCTTTCCTGTGGAGTTGATTTCCTGGTCCGGTTTATCTGGTGGGGCTGACACTTGCATAGGTAATGTCCCAGTAGAATGACCACCCAGCTAAGAACTAGTTGCAGTGAGAGAGGGGGGAAAGACTCATGTCTGATTATTTCTTTGAAGGCAGTGGTCAGCCAGTTGGTCTTCCTAATGCTAGAACGAATTACTTTTCTTGAGGGTTTTTTTTTTTTTTTTTTTTTTCTTTCCCTGTTTCCTCCAAAGTCCCAACTCTTTTTCTTATCTTACCTTATAAGATCATACTCTTTTTCATATCTTATTTTTTTTTTTTACTATGATACCCTTTAGAAATGTTTTAATGTGAAATCCCTGCTAGTCAGGAAATAAGGCATGATATGAAAAGGTAAGATATGAAAAAGAGTATGATCTTATAAGGTAAGATAAGAAAAAGAGTTCTGGGACTTTGGAGGAAACAGGGAAAGAAAAAAAAAGAGGGAACATTTAGAGTTCCTCAATAGGGTTAGATAATACCAAGATAAAGCCTGAGGATGCCAATTTGTGGAGAATCTAAGCTGTTTGACACCACTTACAGTATACTGTAGCTGTGTATTTCTAGATAAAGTATACGATGCAGTATTATAAATGAGCCAGGATAGATTACACCATAAATTTCCCCACATGCTTGTCCTCATCCACAGCCAACTAATGTGAACAAGTGAAGAAAAAAAGACCGTGTGTGTTATTTTTGGTTTCTGTCTTTTCCCCCTTTACAAGGGGTGCCCTTTATGTGGGATGCTATTTTTAATCCATTGCTGAAGGGAAGATTATGCTAAATCCTAAAGCTTAAAAGAAGGTTGCAAACATATTGTCCATGCATCATCTCAAACTGTGTGTTCGAAGTCCTTCAAATGTACATTATGTAGCCAAGCTTCTGTAGGTTAATCCTGACATATGTACATACATTTAATTTCTGCTAAAGGGTTGTTCAAGAAAAAGAGTTATCCCATGCTGGTCTGCACAAAAGGACATCAGATAAGAAAGGGAACACAATTACGCCTCTCCTGGTAATTTGTACAATTCATTTAGGAATCTCACCTGGTATTCCTTCATGTATCCAGTAGTTAATGTCTGTTCCTCCACCATCTTCATAAACATTGGTAATGTTGAGACGCTTCAAAAGTTTCATGATTTCTTTCATGATACAACGAGCTTTAATGCTGCCTGTGAAAGCCAGGCCAGTGGGCATAAATGTTCCTTCATCGGACTCCATAACAATGTCGAAGTTGGAAATGTTTACCTGAAAAGCAGAAAATGAACCTCTGTTCAAATACAGATGGTGTTGAAAGGACAATCTGGCAAGTACATCATGTCATTGGTCATTTTACTTCCTGTGATAGCATGAGATTAGACAGGAAAATTATCGGAATAAAAATTGCATGAAAGCTGCAGTACTATAGCAGTTCAAGCCTGGTTTAGATATGATGTTGCTGCCCTAACAAACTGGTTTACTGGGACTTGAATTAGCTTTCCTTTCCTTTCCTTTCTTTGCTTTTCTCACATGCATAGCTGTAGAGAAGACATACTGTTTTGATAAACTGCAATTTAAATTATAGGGCTAAACCAGGAAACCATGTTTTCAATGTTGTCAATGATCGTTGCTTACAGACCAGATTGACCCGTGCTTTGCAATCCTAGTTTGTGGGAGCATTTAAAATCACAGTTTCTAGGTTTGGAGATAAACAGTGATTTCTCCTTAGGAAATTATCATACTGGATAAAATAAATGTAAACTAGGTCAGTAAACATTTGCCCTTTCAAGTGATAAATAATATTCTATGTATCTTCACTTATTAAACAAATGCTGAGATATAAATTACTGCTTAGTGTATGCCTTTGCAAAGTTCTATGCAAACATTAATTAGATTGGTCTCAAAATGATATTAAGTAGCAAGTAATTATTACTAATCTGAATACTTCCATCATGGGAATGCTGATTAATTTCTTGGGGAGAATTTGGAAGCCTGGATTTGGAAGTTTCATTTGGTTTCATTTTTTCTTTTTGATCTTCAAATATCTATGTTTAGTTGCAAAAAAGAAGAGACACAATTGGCATTGCCACAGCCATAAAACAGGCCTGGCTCAGGAATCCCAGCTTATGTTTCACTTAACAGCACAAGGAGATTTTTAGCTCATTATGGTGGTCTTTCTCAACCAGCTGCCTTTCAGAAGGTTTAAATTTCAACTCCCATAATCCTCCAGCCACCATGGCATACCAAATGGTCTATCATACTATGCTGGTAAAAAGCATTCCTTCTCACTGCTGCAATCTATGCCTCCCCAGTTAGCACTTGCTCAGATGAATCTCTAAATTGCAACTTGGTCCTTCAGAAGGCATGCAGCCTATTCAAGATTAGTAGCCCGCTTCCATTCAGCCCGGTCAGATTTCCTATTTAAAATATCTCCATCCCAGCGTGTTTGTCCTTATCCTTTCCATGCAAAAAGGGGAAAAGTAAATTGCTAAAACTCCCCGGCCCCCAGGGTTCTCAGTACTTGGCTATGGGCATTTGGTGGCTGCTTTGCAAAAATTGGAGCTGGTGGAAAGGAGAAAGCTACCTGCCATCCAAATGTCATTCTTCCTGCATATCAATGCCCATTGAAAGCTGTGATGATGCCTCACCACTGTAGTTTTGCAATTAGGTGTTTTTCCCAACAGTTGTGACCTTGGCTGTAGGTTATACGTAGAGCCCTTACGTGTATACATTGTACATATGTATGTGTGTGAAGGAGGAGAAGCTAGGAGGTACTGTGAGGCAAGTACACATTGCATATGTAAGTAAGAAAAATCAAAGTGATTGTTTTTACTGGAAGTGTAGACTGACTAGAAACTTACTAGAAGAATTAAGGTTCAGGCTTTCTGTTAAACTGGTTTATAAAATCGATAAGGTTGCCCCAAGTTCAGAGTGCAGGAGATGGGATGAGGCAAGAGTTCCTGCAAATCAGAAAAATAGCTTTTCCTCAAGTCCCACTGAGCTCCAGCATTGCAAATTGAAAAATGGATGTTTGGGAATTTCAGCTGATCCCCCTGCCTCCCCAGATTTGCAAGGTGGATCTCTCTCTCTCCCTGAAGTTCACAGGGCAGCAAAAAAATGAGGGGGAGAGAGAGAGAGAGAAAGGAAGGAAGGAAGGAAGGAAGGAAGGAAGGAAGGAAGGAAGGAAAGCGGGGAAACTCCCCAGTATGATCAACATAAATGTGCTGATTTAAATTAACTTGTCCATCAACTTCCATGCTTTCCCAGTGCTCTGGCTCAGTTCAAAAAATACTTTTCAAATACAATTTTGAGTTTAAAAATAAATATAAATAAATATTTCAGTGAAACGCAGATTAAAAGGACCAGACAGATTAAAGAAGAAACAGGCAAAACGCATGGCTTTGTATATTGTCATGTATACATATCTTCATGTATTTGTAGGTTACGCACATAAAGCATGTACACAATGCAAACATTATGCTGATGACTTCTTTTTTTAAAAAGAACCGTTTTGCTAAATATAATAAATAAACCTGGTCTCAGATTCTGTATTTGACACATACATGTAAGATCTGACAACATGTCTGAGGTTAAAAAATCAAAACAAAAATTGGCAGTCTTGTGCACCACAGTAATGTATTTATTTCCATATGCTATTTTTTTTTAAAAAAAAATCATTGCTACCATATAGTCAAAATAGGCTGATTTTTAATGGCACATCATTTGTAAAACAGCACCATGAGAGACTGAGGATGTAGCTCTTGTTACATTCTTTTAATGGATGATTTATAATGTATGGCTTCAAAGCAAATGCTTTCAGAGTAAATAGACTAAGGACAGCTAATCATGACAATTGTTAAGAGGCCAGTCTGAGACGAGGTGAAAGGAATAAATGTGAAACACCAGATGAAACATCGGAGAGTAGGTGAAACACTAGTATTGGAGGCAGGATTAAACAAATCTGCTGTCTCTGATGACAGGAGAAGCAACTAACAGCATCTCAGATCTCAATGTAATCAGAAAGAAAGAGAACCCTTTTCAGTGGTGGGGTTTTATAAGTTGGTGGCAACAGCACATTCCTCAGTTGTTACCCATTTCTATAATGGTTCACATGTTTCTAATATTAAACCCAGAATGGGAACCACCCTTAGTATATGATAAGCCCTCTCCACCCTTCCATTCCTTATTCTAACTGCTTAATTTGGAGCACATGTTGGCAATTCATTAAAAACAAGAATGTTTCTCCAAAGAAAAATCGGAGTGAAAAACAAAGCAAAACCTGTCAGAGATCTGGAAGTGGCTTCTCTGCCTTTTGAGGGATAGCCTTTTTTTTCAAGTAATTTTATTAAAGATTATAATTACAGTAGTAAAAACAATACAAACTAAAAAGGAAGATAGAAAAATAGAAAGGAGTAAAAAGTGCAAAAAGAAAAAAAATAAGAAAAACATAAAGAATAAAAAGAAATAAAGAAGAATAAGAATATAGTAAGGAAAGAGAAATATTTAATGAAGTGTTTCCCAACCATCATCAGAACAAGTATA